TGGATGTATTAGTTGTACATTCTGTATGGATGTATTAGTTGTGAGTAGTACATTCGGTATTGAGGTATTCGTTGTGAAAAGTACATTCTGTTTGGATATATTAGTTTTGAAATGTACATTCTGTATGGATGTATTAGTTGTGAGTAGTACATTCTGTATTGAGGTAATCGTTGTGAGAAGTACATTCTGTTTGGATGCATTAGTTGTGCATTCTGTATGGATATATTAGTTGTACATACTGTAAGGATGTATTAGTTGGGAATAGTACATTCTGTATGGATGCATTAATTGTGAGTTATACATACATTATGGATGTATTAATTGTACTCTCTGTATGGATGTATTAGTTGTACAAACGGTATGGTTGTATTAGTTGTACATTCTGTATGGATGTATTAGTTGTACATTCTGTATGGATGTATTAGTTGTACTTTCTGTATGGATGTATTAGTTGTGTATAGTACATTCTGTATGGATGTATAAGTTGTGAGTTATACATATTGTATGGGTGTATTAATTGTAAATTCTGTATGGATGTATTAGTTGTACAAACGGTATGGTTGTATTAGTTGTACATTCTGTATAGATTTATTAGTTGTACATTCTGAATTCAGGTATGAGTAGTACATACTGTAAGGATGTATTAGTTGTTAATAGTACATTCTGTATGGATGTATTAGTTGTGTGTAGTGCATTCTGTATGGATGTATTAGTTGTGTGTCAAACATTCTGTATGGATGTGTTAGTTGTACTTTCTGTATGGATGTATTAATTTTTAGTAGTGCATTCTTTCTGGATGTAATAATTGTGTGTAAAACATTCTGTATTGATGTATTCGTTGTGAGAAGTACATTTTGTATGGATATATTAGTTTTGCGTAGTACATACTGTATGGATGTATTAGTTGTACATTCTGTATGGATGTATTAGTTGTACATTCTGTATTGATGTATAAGTTGTACATACTGTATGGATGCATTAGTTGTGAATAGTACATTCTGTATGGATGTATTAGTTGTGAGTTATACATACTGAATGGCTGTATTAATTGTAAATTCTGTATGGATGTATTAGTTGTGAGTAGTACATTCTGCATGGATGTTTTAGTTGTACATTCTGCATGGATGTATTAGTTATGAGTAGTAAATTATGTATGGATGTATCAGTTGTACATTCTGTATGGATATATTAGTTGTTCATACGGAATGGATATATTAGCAGTGCGTTCTGTATGGATGTATTAGTTGTACATACTGTACGAAATGTATTAATTGTACATTCTGTTTGAAGGTGTTAGCTGTGAGTAGTGCATTCTGTATTGATGCATTAGTTGTGAGTAGTACATTCTGCATGGATGTTTTAGTTGTACATTCTGCATGGATGTATTAGTTATGAGTAGTAAATTATGTATGGATGTATCAGTTGTACATTCTGTATGGATATATTAGTTGTTCACATATATTAGCAGTGTATGGATGTATTAGTTGTGTATTATATATACTGAATGGATATATTAGCAGTGCGTTCTGTTCTGTATGGATGCATTAGTTGTACATACTGAATGGATATATTAGCAGTGCGTTCTGTATGGATGTATTAGTTGTATATACTGTATGGATGTATTAGTTGTATATACTGTATGGATGTATTAGTTGTGAGTAGTATGTTCTGTATGGATGCATTAGTTGTTCATACGGAATGGATATATTAGCAGTGCGTTCTGTATGGATGTATTAGTTGTATATACTGTATGGATGTATTAGTTTTGAGTAGTTTACTCTTGATGGATGTAATACTTATGTTTCAAACATTCTGTATGAATGTATTAGTTGTGAGTTGTGAATTCTGTATTAAGGTATTAGTTGTGAGTTGTATTTTCACTATGGATGGATTAGTTGTACATACTGTATGTATGTATTAGTTGTTCTTACGGAATGGATATATTAGCAGTGCGTTCTGTATTGATGTATAATTTGTACATACTGTATGGATGTATTAGTTGTGAGTAGTACATTCGGTATTGAGGTATTCGTTGTGAGAAGTACATTCTGTTTGGATATATTAGTTTTGAAAAGTACATTCTGTATGGATGTATTAGTTTACATTATATATGGATGTAACAGTGTTACATTCTGTATGGATGTTTTAGTTGTGAGTTGTACATTCTGTATGGATGTATTAGTTGTGAGTAGTACATTCTGTATTGATGTATTAGTTGTGAGTAGTACATTCTGTATTGATGTATTAGTTGCGAGTATCATCTGATTCTTTCATTATCCTAGCGATAATAAAGATGATCAAAACTAAAGGTTTTTTTCTCCATTTTTTTGTTTTTGTTTGTTAGCTTTTAAATTTTATTCTGCAATTATTTTTTTTCGTTGTTCGTTATCATGGAATGTTTCTTTTCATTAATTATTCTGAATTTTTTCTGATTTTCCCCCGACATATATCCTCATTTATTCCAGTGAAACGGGAATAGAACAAAGATTTGAACATTTGTACTGTAAAGACATTTCAAAGGAATCAAACAAATGCGATTTTTATACACATCAATGCAAATAGATCTGAACGTAATGTCGTCCCTAGATACACTCAGCAAGTAGTATGGTAATAAACTAGGAGTGCTATTAGAGGTAATAGAGGAGATGGGAACAGATACCAGTCAGACTAGGTTATTATACATACCGATCGGAAAACAACGGCAAACGATTTGTATGCAATATTGTCTTATCAGCCGATTACCAGGCAATTTCATATAATTAATTTGAATATTATTCCCATTAAATAATGACAATTTCGTTCGCATCCGTGTCGATCATTTTTCATTTTGTATTTGTTGGCAGTTGTAAAGAATTCTGCTGCAAAGAGCCCTGATATGAAGGTAATGCGTTTCAAACTGTTAACCTGTTTTGCCCTACAGCATCACCAGGTCGGAACTTCAGATACGTTATTTACATAGATATACATTTAAAAAGATTAATATACAGACATAGTGTAATGTTCTTGATTTTAGATCGTTTCTGGTATTTCTAGATAATTTGCACTTTAATACTCGAATTCAAGATTACAGCACCGTATGCACTTCCGGTTGCGGCTCCGTACCAGAAACTCAAGAATACACCAACTTGTATGAGTGCATACCTCCATTGTTATGCCATATCAGCAATTATCAAAGTTCGTAATCATTTGTGTAAAATGATAAGTCCAATATATAACACGTAAATTTCAATTCTTAATGAACCGGAAGTTCAAAGGAACAATCTGATAAAACGTCTTAATAAATCCGGCTCATCTATACAGGTTAATATCACATGACATTCAAATCCCACTTTGAAAAGCTACACTGTATCCAATCTAAGTCATATATATCTTCTTTGTTATCAGTAAATAAAGACTAAAATCATGGTAAAATGATTTACGGTTAGTTATTTAATCTTTTAAATACGATAGGCATGGGAAAGTATAAATTTGTAATAAAATTTATTTTGAAATTTGATCGTGGTTTATGGTGCGAAATGACACTGGATATGAAAGTATATTAAGCGTGTATCGTGACTCTCCGTGTCGGAGCACTGTAAACCAGAAATGGGTTCAATTGGGGATACGGTGTATTCCGGATCGCTGGGCACAAAGTGGGGGCAACCCGCGATATTGTATATTACGAATCGAGGGATTTATATTGTCAGTTCATTGGAGTAATTTGAGTCACGGAATTCCGATTTCCTCTTTGTTGTAGCTGAGCTATCGGCCATTACAAAGAAACATAATCATCATACGTAGGCCTTTGTTAGGGCTTGTCCTGGTCGGTGGTGACTTTGGTGTCAGATTTATTTGAGAAGCAGCGTCCTCTAATTTCATTCGCCTACTATAGTATATAGAGATTCAGTGATCGTGTCTCAGCCCACACAGACGGCCGGAGCCATGTATCCCTGGGGACCTTGTCATGCCACTCTTACATGCACCTCAAATCAGTGGGGAACGTTAGACATTACGTAATGATCATTATCATTTCTCTGTGACATTGACTCTAAATCTAAATATCAATAACAGATTGTTTCATGCGTTTGATTTGATTTTACTTAATTAAGGTTTTATTTACTTTTCAATAATCGATAAGAAAGAAAACGAATGAGATAAAATCTACGAATCAAATCAATGATAGTAAAAGGAATGTTGCAATCTGCACGCAAGCTCACTGTTAAAATACAAATCCTAATTGCTGTTTGCGTAGGTACCTGTCTCTCTGTATGATGAACGTACTAATATTATTTCGTATTTTACTTGTTTATTATCGATCCATGTCTCTACCCGCCATTCCTGGCCGTATTCTTTTAATTGAAAGAAAATACTAAACAATATATATCTCCGACATTAAAACTGTACTAGCCATTGATTTATACAAAGTTTAATCCAGCGTTTGCCCTGTTTTTATGTTTCCAAGGCGGCCCCAGTAACCCGATACACGCGTGTTTTTTGCACTTCCTAACTTTATCAGCCGCCGTTCCATCCTCAACTACTACTACCAGCCAAGATCTTGTCTTCCCGATTACGACACAAACTCAATAAACAGTCCGATCTGCTTGCCACTCTGCCAATCCCGAGCTCGATCCAGCGTCTTAGTAAGGGCTATATTTATGAATGAAATGTCGTCGCCGATATTGAATTCATTCATAAATGACCAACAATTATGATATCTAATGTTACAGAACCGTACCGGACCATGAGGACAAATGTGGACATTGAGAAGGTCATTTTGGGATTGTAAAGATAAAGTTTGTTTGGACGTATGAAGTAAGGAATATAGCCTGTATTAGACGGCATGCCATCCTGTCACTCTCAGATCGTCGCTTGATCATCCATCATACAAATCAAAACTGCATCACGTGGATTGGTGCCGCAACACGCACGCGCAATGAAGTCGAATTCTGTCTCAATTTCTTGTGGGTTGTATTTACACTCGAAATTAGGAACGGCATGCCTTAATAATGAACGACCATGTGCACTATAAAGTGGACGAGTTGGGATTTACTAGTTGTCTTTTATACAAGAAATGCCGGCTGATGTTCTGAGGTAAGTGTTCGTTAATATACATTTTACTTGGGATTAACAACAGTCCCTCTATTGAATATACACTCACGCTCACGCGCAGATAGTTGTGTCCTCATAATGCCCACGTGTAGAAACGGATTTATTTCATACATATTTTTTCAGATTCATTTTACTGTTTTTAATTACCCACTTTTTATTGTGCTTTTTGATCATTTGCCCTTCATTGACACAATGAAACGAAACAGAAGGAAGTAAACCACATTTCGCTGTTTCATCTAATGTGTGGTGATCTTATCATTTGTAAGCAGACATTGTGTTCTATCTCCACCAGAAGGAACAGGTCTATCTCAAGTACTGATACACTATCTTTTGGTTTAATGTTTTATAGAACCTGTTTCATAAGAAGAATCCATTTGTTTAGATTTACCATTAATTATAATAAGATCAGTCTTGAGATGCATCTTTAATGTACATTGTGATTTTAGCAAATCAACCCAAGAAATGAACAAGGAACTATAATCTTCCATACTAAAGGCCAATAACTTGATAGTGTTGTAGCCTTCGTTTTCACCACTTGACGACTGAGGCTTCACTGTACAACCTGCACGGTTGAATGGGAACCCACTTGCGGTGTAGTATCTCCCAGATTCCGAATCTACGCATCTTATGAGTAGGAACGGGAGAAACTAGAAAACGATGGGTAACGATATGTATTGAGTAGAGTATAGGGTACGGCGGGGGCACAGCGGGCCAGGTGATGCGTATACACGACTTACTCTATCGCACACCGAGTTACCACGATTGTTTTTGTTGAAGCGATAGACCGGCACACCACGACTATGTAAACACTTGGTGTCAATATAAGTTCCGAACGGCAGAAACCTACATAGAGACATCGCCCGGGACGCCAATGCCCGCAGATACAATCTTAACCATATTTACAAATGCTTTCAGTTTCCCTGCGAGTTTGTTTTTAATCTTTCTTAAGTTTCTCATTTGCTGTATCTTCACGTGTGTATTTTCTTCACACATTATATACATATCTACATGTAAAAGTTGGAGAAGTTCCGCGAGAGAGTGTTACAGAGCATGTTGTATAATTGATATTTGTGCAGATTAGAAAAGAGTTTTGTTCGAGTAGTTGTAAAATATTAGGCATAGACCATCATATCATGGCTACTAGCAAATCAAAAGGCGAGTAGAGCTTAATTCTCCCCGAAGTTATATCCTAGTAAAACGGATACAGTGACAGTCCACCAGCCGCATGTGAACACTTGTACAGATGGACTAACACCTGCTTATTGCCCATTGTGCAGAGATAAACGGACGTCTTGTAATGGGAGAGGTAATTGTCTATGATGTGCTTACCCAATTATACCAGAAACTGATCCTAATTATCGGTTATAGGTCAATCACGACTTGTCAGTCCATCCTGAACAACTACCACTTCAATAAAGCCACTGAAGTTTACATATACATTTAAGGTATTAATATGTCTTCGAATAATGATTAAAAGAACTTGATTGGATCTTAAATATACTTATTCAATAAACGTTTAGTTATTTTGTGTTGAACATTTGATGTTCGAATAGAAATTTGAAATCAAAAAGCAAAACTGGTACCGCTGAACAACAAGATTTTGACTTGGGCCAGGAAAATGTTTGGTGCTTCTAAAATTGTTCCATAATATTATACGCTAAACATTACTCCGTATCTAACAGTCCACGATATTTAGTGCAAAATTGATTAGAATAGTGCATTTAGAAAAAATCATGTTCTCTTTTCTTCTCTATCTGTTTGGGATAAATTGATGTATTCCCGAAATACTTATTTCGACACTCCACGAACTTTACCATGCCCTCAAGGACGCGCGGACATATCGTGCCAGATGGCCGTTGAGTTTCCGTTATCGCAAATTTGATGACGTAGATATATTAAAGTTTACATTGTGTTTATTAGGACCGATGCCTTGTAAGCCAAAAGGTTCTTGGGGCTCACCGCTGACTGCTGACCTTGGTGGCTGCCGTGAACAGGTGGCTTTGCTACAAAGTGCCCAACCGCTTTGCTACAATTATAAAAGTCTTTACCTCCGTAATTTATCTGAAGCGAATGGCGGTTTTGTATTTTAATAAGTGATTTTTAAATGTATTCAATTAGCAAATAACCAATAAAGTGAGGTACAAGTCCACTGCTGCCTCTCCTTGACTCTACGTGTATATACACATATACATAGACTCATGTAGCTTTCTCTAAGAGTAATCTAGAAGCAAATACAACATACATTTTCATGAGAGTTTTTCTAGCCGGGTTATACACTGCACTGCATGTAATACGCCAGTAGTTGTGTATTGCATTGGTCATCCGCAGTATATGGCGGGAGGTCAATGCCGATGACCTAGCGATATATATGTATGTAATCGATGGGTCCGTCTAAACGGCCGGCTGGCAATTATCGCAGCCTCATCAATCACACAGATATACAGTCGTCAAGAGCGTCTACCACGGCCAGAAAACCTGGACTGGTCATTCGCAGACTGGTCATTCTGTTCGTTGAGAGGTCCATCGCCTAGGTATCAATGCCCGTTAATTGATTTTGATAAGTTATCCATCGCCGGTGATATTGTCAGATGGGAGATGTCAGAAACTTTCGGAGTCTGATGTTGCTACTGTTGAAGTGAATGATGTATAACTTGCTTTCCGTTTCTATTTGTGCCTATATTGACTGTAGGGTTCCTGATTCCATCAATAATTCAGTTTAACAAAGTGACAATATCTTAACAGAAAGAAATACAGTATGTGAATATGTGCATTTAAAACTTCTTATTGTGACATTTGTTGATCAGGGTTTTGCTTTCTAGGAGCTCTTTTACTTCATTGTTTCCTTATTTCTAAGTTTGAATCTCTGTGTGGATTCTCTTCATCCTTTTCGAGAAGGAGGGTGGGGTTTGAATGCCAAAGACTCTCCTTCTGTACCAAGAAGTGATAAGCTCTCTGGTCAGTTAAACAGTTCTATGTCTGCAGGGATGGTCTGTTTATAGTTTCCATGTTGTATATTTCTAATTCCTCTGTCTTTTCAAAGGAAACGGCGACGGTTCATCGTCAATATAACGTTTTAACTTGACGATAGCAAGTAATGTGCTTACGTTTAAGTAAGTTAATAATGACGTGAAATACTTGCTTAGGTAATGTAAGCTTTGAACTGGCATTATGTGGCATTTATGACAGACATAAATGAGTTTTGAAGGCAAACATAACGTACAGTGCCAGCATGCAAAGACCTGTCATTTATATCGACTATAAACGTCATTTCACGACAATTCAGTATTGAAATGAATACCTTAATAAATGAACAAAACTTATCAAAAAACTTGCAAGTTACTGTAGTCACGTCAGTATCGACATCGACAATTAGTTAGGAAAATGTTACCGTCCAGGAAAAGATATAATATTTTCCATTCCACTCTTTTTTCTTTCTTTTTCTTGTCTGTTGGAAGGCGGAGAAGCCGTTAAATAAGTAAATAAAATACGAATTTACGTCTATGTCTACAGCAAATGTAGCACGCTGCATATACAATTATATAATCTATGTAGAATAATTGTATGAATACCAAGCGTGTTATAGCTAGACCAAGTATCACTAACGGCAGTACTTTTGATATCTAATGGCATTTAAAATTTATGACGTCAAAATAAGAAGTATAATTATACTGACGGAAATTTCAGTTTATCTATGAACAGAGGTATAAAACCAAAATCCAATCAACATTGTAGACCAAAAATATATATTTTACGACAAATATCAAAGCTTTTGATTTGACCTAGATTTTCGGGTTTGCCTCAAATCAGCTGCTGCAAATTGCAATCGTTTTATGAAGCATCAGGAGTTTTTCATGTCAGGTAAACGTTATATAATCATAATATTAGTGCAGCTCTCGGGTGCCACAGGAACTAGAGCAAAAGCTCTTTTATGGTAGACACGGCGTACACGAAAATGCAGAGACTGAATATAGTTACTTCATGCTTTCCTCTATATTAATCTTTTCATAAAGCTCGATACCGGAAATAGTGATCTAATGAAGAAAATCGTATTCAGGAAATCGTACTTAACGAAGAAAACTTAAAATATACCTAGTAGCCTCCAAACGCGTAAAAATATACATGTAGTTTTGCAATACCGTAACATATCGATATGATTATTGGAAAAAGGATTTGCCGTTTTGAATTTCCTTTTTTTATCTATAGAAATAAGATTGAACGCAAAATACGGGGCATCAAAATACGTTTAAATAATTACACACGAAAATGAAAATAATTCGTTCTTATTCTTTTCAAATATATGCACTCAGGCACTTTATCAAAGATGTGCTACTTGCATCAGTAATTCTGAAAAGCTACGCCATATTTCTTGGTTTTTGAAAACAATATAAGACGCAGAGATTTCATTGCATGGTCTTGACTAGGCTTAGCCTCAAACAATAATAAAAGTGAATAGAAATATTCATTATGAATACGGCATATTACTTGTTAAAAAACTAGTAACGACCAGTGTGAATTCTTATTTTATTTCTAAATTGCAAACAAAAATGGTTTTAGTGAAAGCTTGGATATTTTTCACATGCCGTAATGTACAAAAATCTTACCTAAGTGAAAGATTTTCAGTAAAATGCCTGTACTTACAACTGTAGAAACAAAGCGTTATCTTGACTTATTTACAACGTTTGAAACTAGGAGATAAAAATAAAATGGAACACAGGAGAAAGGAGACACAAACACAAAAATTGACGATAAAACGATATTGTTTGAGGAACCTGTCATCATGCTTACTTCTCCGTAGACATCGAGCTAACGACCGCATATCTAATAAGATTTAAACGAAAATCTAAAGTCGACTTTGAACTCGAAGGTCATGTTCTGCCGATACTGCATATTCGGTTTTAGGGTCCGGATCTCTGACAGGGGCCCAGTATATCATGTGGTTCCGGTAAACCGCGTTTAAATTTTTTTCTTGAAAATACATGTAT